GGTTTTTTTTGTTTGTTTTAATGTAAATGGCGGTATCAGTCATAGCCCACTAGACAGAGCATTTGGCCTGAAAGTTAGTGTTGGGCTAAGCTCCATCCTCTTCTTGAAGGGAGTCAAACTTACAGCTAAGAGTTTTGCAGCCATGAGGTCACAGACTATTTTAGGGTGAAGCAGAGAGCTGCAGTCTCCCGTTGAGGTGTACCGTTGCAGCAAACAGTTCAAGAATAATTGGGTCATAAAGTCAACCCAGAAGACCATATATTTTGGTAATCAGCTCACTAACTTAGGAGCTGGTATCTTAGTTGCCTACTTCAGCTTCAAATACTCTTCATGTATTTTACTGAAGGAGTCTTGAGAGTACAGGTGTGAACTAAAGTTACCCACTGCTTAGCATTACAGTTGGCTCTTAGGTTGGAGTCATGCCTAAACTTGCTCTTTTCTCTCTGTACCTGCTACAACCAGAGGAATTTGAGGTGCTTAATAGGGCCCTTTTCAAGCAATAGGAAAAACAGGCTGGATCTGCTGGTGCTTTCTGTTCGCATACAGTGTAAGAAGCATCTGTGATGTCACCTTTTTTTGGTTGTTCCAGTAACAAGCTGTTACTAAATGTGTGGAGAACATGTACTGGGCTCTGAAGACAGGGTAGGCTGGAAGAAGTCTTAGGTTTTGGGTTTGAATAAATCATGGCATGAATTGCTCATTGCTGTCAAGAGTGAATGCATCTGCATGTGCCTAAAGCTGAGTGTCAGAGTACGGATGCACAAGAGTAGACAGTAGCTAAGCAGAGATTTGGAGTTTGGCAGTTCTGGGTTCTATGTGTGGAATGGCTCTAGGTGACACTTTTTTTCCCCCTTTTAATAGAAAAGCCTTAAGATTTCTACCTTCAGCATTTCATTGCATGGAATGAGGCAGAAGTCCTGCAGAAATAGTAGTCTTCAGGCCTTGGTGCTCTCTAACTGTAAGATCACATATGGGGCAGAGAGAGGTGTAAGGATGGTCGAGTTGCTCAGTCTAAGCGTAGATTTTCAATGCTTACTTTAAGCCCCAGGCTTTTTTTAATAATATGCTAGGTGCATGGGGAAGAGGTAGAATACTACTGTATTTTCACACAGATGTCCTACCTTTGTCTAATCCTCTTTCTTTGTTAAAAGTACTAGTATTTGAACTAAATCCTCAGCCAACCCCACAAATCTGGAGTCAAAATGAAGAAAAAGCAAGTGGTCAGTAGGAAGAACTTCATAGTAAAACTTCTTTATAGTACCTTACACATAGGCATAACCCACAGTGCTGTCGGGGCTCTGCTGAATCAGTGAAAAGGGCTGAATTATTTACTTGGTACTCATCCATCAAGAGATTGGGCAATAAAAATACCAGCTGAGCACTGTTGAGGATAGGGAGGTGGGACTAGTTCTGTCCCAATAAAATCATAGTGTGAAAGTATATAGTCTCCTTATCTAGCAAGCAGCTTGGAACAAGCTGAGGTAGAAGAAAAGCTCCCGAGAAAGTTTGGCAACTATATTTCTAGGTGATGCATTAATGAATATATCAAGTTGATTGCACAAGCAAGAACATCCAGTAATTAGCAGTTACATCTCTGGTATATGTCTTATGAGGCAGATAGCAACTTCAAAGCATTGCCTGCGGTTTGGTCTGCTAGTGGCAAATAGTCCAGGAAGATCTCAGAAATAATTTCAGAACTAGCTCCGCAGTACAATAAACCACTTCCATCTCTATCACTTAAGCAAGGAGTCTGAGGAAAGACATCCTTGAGACGTCCAGGAAATTAATCTTCTAGACATAGAAAATCCAAGAAAGGATGCCGCTTGCCTAGTGCCCTAGCAAACTCAGCAAGTGAACTGCAGTAGCTAGGGTATATTATTCTGTTTAGTGGAGCAAGATGAGTACTGTCCCTGGCATCAAACCATGGATGTCACTTGTACTAATTTATTTCCTACCACAATTACACTAGAATCATAGGATGGTGGGAAGAAGGTTTGAGCCTTCTCCTGACTATTTAATTCACATTAGCTGGAGTTTTGCCTTTTTGACACTCACAGTAAAGACGTGTGAAAACATGGCCGATATGTTTAAAAAATCAGTAAGATGCTCCTCTGGTGATAACATTCTGGTTTTTCCATTCATCTTCTATGCCCTTCTTCATTAGATCTTGCCATAAAGAAATGGCAGGTATAGGAAAAAAGCACAGCCTTTTTATCCTGATCAAATTTAGTTCATATGTGATGGTTCTTATAATCTTGGAAATGTAATTAGTGTATAATAGCAGCTGATTTGCAAGCTCAAAAGGATGCATCAGTACTTAAAGAAAAAAAGCCCCTTGGATGCAGAGAACATGTCCTTAGCCAAGTAGCTATCACAAACCTGGTAAAAGTGCTGACTTTTTTTTTTAATTATGTGAAGAATCTTATTACAATTCAGATTACTGCAGCTGGGAATGGGAATAAAAAATCATTTGGGAGTGGAATTTCCTATTGGAAAAAATATTTACAGAAAAGCCACGGGAGAAGCATTACAATAGGATTTTATTACTTGTCAGATTATTCTTTCTATTTAGGCATGAACATGGTCCATCTGTGCATGAAACTACAATGCTGAAGTTATAAAATTCCAGGCTGTGCAGGAATATTGCGTTTTGATTTCTAAAGGAGCTCAGGATTATTCTGTGGAATTTATCCTGGAGAGCAGAAAGCCATTGTAGGCAGGTGGAGTTAAGCTGCAGGACTCTGATCTGCGTAAGAGCGTCCTGGAGCTCTTTGGTTAAGCGTGCCTCGGAGGGCAGTATCTAATTGCTCACAGCACTGTGAACAATTCCAGCCCCTTTTTCTAAAGGAGTATTACAAAGTATATGATACTTAAGGAATCTAAACTAACAAATCACTTACTAGTACAAATTGTGAACGGGAGCTTGCAAGAATCCTGTTAAGAAGAAATTTTAGGAAGAAAGTCCTCTAAGAAAGTCCACCAATGTCAAAAGCATTTCAGAGGCTTGGTGTTTGAGGGGAACAGCCAGATTCTCTGCTGTTCGTATGGAAGACTGAGGAAGGGCTGAGCTAGTTGTCTGCACCTGCAGAGAGAGGACTCTGTATGATGAGGAGGTGTGCCAGATTAGAGATGGAGAACCAATCACTGCACTTAGTTTCACTAAATACAAGAGGTCTTTCTCAAGAAAGAAAGGGAAGGCAAAAAGTTAATCCAGCCCATGGGAAGGGTCACGTTTGCTTCTGCCCTTGGAAGACTGGAGAAGAAACATGGACAAAGGCCTAGATCTTTGTAGGAAACAAGCTGGGATTTCAGTGTCATAAACCTATTGGTGGCAACACAGTTGCGGCCTCTTGACAGCAGTGGTTGGACAGGAGCGACAGGGCTCTCCCCTTTTTGCAAACTAAAGATTGGGCCTCTTGATCTGCATGCCTTTGCTGTTAGGGTTAGAACAGTCTGTAGCTCCTCCTCCTCCTTGAGAAAAGGCTCTACCTGCTGTGGTGATTGAAGCTCCCTGGAGCCAGAGGAAGATTTAAAACTGACTTTAGGGCTTCCTTTCTTAAGTTTAACTAGACAAGTAGTCTTAAAATACGTTTTCAGAGTTCAGATTTGGAAACCCTGGCATTGCTGGTATGGCAGCAACGTTGTGACGGTATAAAAGAACTGCTTTAATTAAAATCACATGAAGACAGGAAATCCTTTTTTCTGAGTGTAACCCAAATAAACAGTGCTCTGTGGCTGTACCCAGCCATTTGTAGTGCAGTTGCTGCTGCAGGATATCTACTAGACTCTGTGGGTGCTATAATGCTTACTTCCTGAAGTCCCTGGGGATTTGACAAGTATATGCGTGTGCTGTAAGTTCAGTACTGACAGGTCGTATTCCTGCCTCATTCCCTCTAAAAAAGTGTTGATAACTGTGTATTTAAAAACGCGGCGGAACTATGCTTCAGGATATAGAGGCGTTATTCTTCACGGGAATCCTAGTGCCGTGCCCTTTAGAAGGAATAAAACTTTTGAGAATCCATGTTCTAAAGCAATAGTGATTTTATCATGCACAGAAATATTTACCTCTTTTTGTACCCCCAAAGTAATATGGGCGAAGCTCCACTATGTATGTATGTATTATGTACTGTTTTCCAACACCCAATTTCTAGCGTATCACTTGCAGGAAAATTTTAGAGTAACGAGAGGTGGAACTGCCACAGCTAGTTCCCACTGAGAAGGGGGAAAAATGCAACAGTGTATTTTACAGCCTTTATGAAACATTTTGAAACAATAGCTTTGTGCATCAGAAAGTACTCAGTTTCTTCAGATAAGAACCGTTTGAGAAATTAGATTTTAAAGGGATACATTCAACTTTAAAAAGCTGTTTCTGTCTAAATGGAAATTTTTGTAATTGAGGGTATTTTTTATTTTTTTTTTAAACTCTAAAGGTAGCAAGAACTGACATTTCCTGGAAAAGTGCTTTTCCTTCAAGTTTTTTTAAGTTTTGCTGATAGTCATTCTCCTTTTACTCTTGGTTACTTGTCTTTGTGGCAGAGGAACAAGAAAAGGGGGAAGAAAAAACCCATCAAAATATAAATTAACAGCACAGAAAACTGTAATTGCGTGGACATACCTTAGATAGCTCAGACATGTTCAGCAACAGAAACCAAACTCCTTTTCAGACTAATTCCATTTAAGTTTTAGCTATTCAGGTTATTCCAAAGATAAGAATTTCTCTTTATAAAATGCTTGGTGGGATATAGGGTGTGTGAATCAGGTTTATAATTTGTTTTGGTCGCAACCAAACTCAGAAAAAGGAAAATCCAAAACAAGAGTGGTTCTCCTAGCAGCGCAGAGCTTTTAGTCAGATTGTAACTAAGGTGTATGGCTAAATCACCAGGACTGCTATGAAAGTAGAAACCGATCTTCTGAAATACCCAGTCGTTTTCAAACATGAAACCTATTGTAATGAAAAACTGGTTTTTATCAAGCTAAGGAACCTTTGTTCTGTGTCACAGGAATCATGTATCGCAAATCCTGCGCGTCTTCAGCGGCATGTCTGATAGCCTCTGCTGGATACCAGTCTTTTTGTTCTCCAGGGAAAGTGAACTCTGTTTGTATCAGCTGCTGCAACACTCCACTCTGCAACGGGCCCCGGCCTAAGAAGAGAGGGAATTCTGGCGTGGCGCCGAGGGCGCATGTGATCACCACCATTCTGCTCCTTAAATTGGCTCTTATATCTTTGTATTGCTAAACTTTGAGCAAAGTGTTTGCTCTGACAGAGTTTGTTCTATCTCCTCCTTTCTTCAAAGACACTGCAATTATTTTCTATTTGCTTCCAAATCCCTATCAAAAGAGAGGGAAGTTCAGTGGTTGTAGGAAGAGAGGGGCTGATATTTTTGGCAGCTAATGAATGCAGTTAGCAGACTGAATTTCCAGTGTGCACTTAAAAATAAAAAAAACCCAACAGTAGCATACAGAACGCTTGCTCTTTTTGCATATTTGGAAACAAATCTATCTGTGATATTACTTTTAAGATGTAGTCAGTTCCTCGGTCATTTTCTGTGTTTTTAAGTTCATTGCTAATCATTAACTTAGCTTTATAAAGTCATATTTCATGTTCACAAAGGCCATTTTGTGCATCTGAACTGGGCTCTAAGCTAGTCTCTAGTGGCACTGCTTCCACACTGGGCTCCAGGAATTCAAGACGTGGTTTCTGTAGACTGCAGTCAGGCTTGGTTTCATTCTGAAAAGTACTTAAGAAAACTTTGCTAGTGCTCTTTGTAGAAGAAGCACGCTTCGATGCTCTGAAGATCAACGGGCGTAGAGACCGGCCGCTGCTTGCTCTGGAGTTGAGATTGGCTCTCCGAAACTTCTCTTTGTTGGCGTGCTCTATTGTCAGGTGGCAGCGAAGGACCTGCAGAAACACACTGCGGAACTGCTGCGACGAGACGTTGTACAGGAGGGGGTTCACCACCGAGCTCAGGTAGAAGAAAGTGTCAGCAATGGGAAGAAGAGTGATGTATGCTCGGAAGTAGGGGACAGTCCAGTCCTGCTTCGGTTTAACAGCAGCCATGATCCTTCTAACCTGGTTTGGCAGCCAGCATATTGCTAGAGTTGCAACAATCAGTCCTGGGTACAAAAAGAGGAAGAAAGAGGGTGCACGTGTGGGGAAAAAAAAATCATAAAATATTTAGCATCAGTTCTGCACTTACTTGTTAGGAGATAGTACCGATTTTTCAGTGTTTTGCTTGACAGCTTTTTCTGCCAGTAGCATTTTTTTGTTTGTTTTTTTAATACCTGTTTCAAGGTCAGTGCAGCATTTGCTCTGATACAGACTACATAGTGCTTGGATAGTGTTTGTTTGTACCTACCATCATTTGTTAATTTTCACAGTGTTCCTTCATCGATACTTGTATCTTTGGAAAGAATGGATTTTTATTTTGTTCTGTGTTCTTGCATTTCTTATATTTTTCCCTTTATTTAAAAAAACAAACAAAATAAATAGCAACCTATAGCCATATTAGATCTGGCAATACCCAGAAGAGATCAGATTCTTGTTTGTACTTTACAAAAAAAAATGTATGCATAATAATATATTTGCTGTTATTTTTGGTAACTTTCCTCTTACAGAAAATATTTTTAAGTAAAACATGTATGGATCTTTTTAAGGTAATTAAGAGATGTTGGGCTTTCTTAAAAATCAAATTCCAGTGGAATTAAATAATGAATGTAAATGAGAAAAAGCCAAGCCTAGCCATGGAAGTGTAAGCAGTTTCAGATTATAAAGTCGGCTTAAAAATGTGATATCTGACCATTTTGTATTTATATATGCAATATAAATACATGTTGCTGCATCGCTAACTGCATTGAAAAGAGGGTGACTTAAGTGTTGGCTGAAAAATTCTGCCTCTCTGAACAGGCATGCAGGGAGGTCGCAGCAGTGACGCCACCGTCGGGACTGCAGCACTGCAGAAGCGTGGCGGTGGACTTCAGGAGGCTCTAGTCCGAGGCAGAAAACAGAGCGGGGGAAAGGCAAGCAAATGCTCACTGGCAGCTGCTGCCTCCAATGCGTCTAGAGTAAGTGCTGGAAATCCTGACCTCTTACAAAAACTACAAGGTGTACAAATAAGTCCTCCTCAGTGCCCGCCAAAAAGCATTACTTCTAAAACAAAAACACATTCAAGAGTTTACTCTTTCCACTTTATTTTTCTCTCTTGCAGCAAGTGTGCCTTATATGAACACATAGGGGGAACAGCAGTTGCAGGTTGGCTTCCCTGCAGCAGATCTACAGAACAGTAGAGCGTGTCTTCACTGTGCACGGTTTACAATTTCAGCAGACTTTTGTTACCTTGTTAATCTCCTCCAAAGTCTAGCTGTCTTAACAGAAGCACAAAAACATAGTAATACTTCCTGGTCTAGAATAAGTCAGATTTCATATCTACAACCCCATTAAACAGATCATTGTAGCAATGCAATTCTGACATGGTGTGTTTCCTGTTTTTCCAAGCCAGAAAATGGTATAGTAATGAGTGTAAAGAAGGGTGTGGGGGAGAAAACAGACACAAAAATATAACTTTGAAACTACCAGGGCTTAAACAGGATAAGCTGAAGTTCCCTCCAGTCCCCCCCAAAAATCAAGGAAAAAGATGTGAAACCTCAGTTATGTTTTTTTAAGAAACTAATTTTCTTCATGAAAGTCATAATTGATTTTTTTAACAAATTTATGATGTCACTGTCATAATACCAAATCGAAGACTTCTTTTTGATCCCTTGCCTCCCTCATCACTTAATATCACATTTACTTTTGAATCCCATTGAATTTTGACAGCATGCTCTTTAAGGCTGGGAAAGTAGCATACAAACATACAACACTAGAGCGTCAGACTTGGAGGGGGGAAAAAAAAAGATTCGGAAGCCTGTTTTAGCAGGGAAAGTGATAAATGCAGTTATCTTGGCCATTTTCTGCTCTTTACCTCCCATAAGCCTCCTAAGCCACAGTCTTTGTAGTCTGCCCCCAAGCCAATGCTGCGCCCCTTTGCTTTAGCTGCACTCCTCTTTTGCTGCCTTCTTGCCTCTTTTTTTTTTTTCCAGCTCCTGGGCTGTGTATGCCTCTTTCTGTCATAAGCTGATCTGAGTGCTGAGTCCTGCAAATTTTCCAGCCTCCAGTGTTTGTTCTTTTTTTCTGCTGCCAGTAAAATAAATGTAGGGATAGTAGTCCTGGCAAAGAACGACAGAAAATAAGGAGCCCTGAACAGCGTGATCCACCTGAGAAAAGACAGCCAAGGTGCGGTGCGGTTTTGTTGGGCCCTTTCCCCCTGAGCAATTTAAATACAAAACCAGGCCTGCAAAATTCTTGTCAAATTTTTACCCTCTGATCTCTTTCAGGGAAAATAATAAGCTCTATTTTAACAATAATTTTTCAGTCTTAATTAGAAAAAAGATAATTCCATCGTGCTGATTAACATAGCTTCCTAAATTACAAATGCTGTGGTGAAAAATTGTGAGTAAACAGTGCATGCATTCATTTTAAGCCCAATATAGTGCTCTGAGATGTCTAATTTTTTTTCTCTTGTAGCTTAATTCTGTGCCACTGACCCTTCTTTTCAGTTCAAGCTACCAAATGTTTAAGATTTCTCCTTATATTCTTGAGGCATTTTTGTTCTGGAGAATTTGCTATTTTGCTGTGTACAGCAAGTGGAAAAAAATGAGCTGCTTGTGCCCTTGCATAGTATGGTGGCGGTTAGTCTTTGGGGCGGGAGGGAGGGGAGTAGTTGTCTTCATGAACTTTGTCATTTTTTTTTTCCCAGAGACGAATAATTGTTAATTTTCACACTTGGAAAAATGCTCATTATTTTAAAGGAGCTGCACCATGTAAATAAACATGCGGACCAAAAAAAAAAGTTCAGATTTTTTTTTTCTAACCTCACTCTTGACACGGTAGTATGACATAAGTCTAAGCATAGCAAAGAAAGATCTTTTTATATTCTTATTCAGACTGTAACATATTCAATATTTTGACTGAATTATTCCTGCAATCAATTTGAACTTGTACACAGGTTCTTGAAATCTTAGTTTTTGTAATGTAATATGCAGAAGATGCTTAAACAACTTTGTATCCACTTGAATGCGAAACCAGACTGCATCTTCTATCAGCATTTTCCCCTAGACCTTGCTGTCTGCTAGGAATTAAACTCCTACACATTTTGTCCCATATCCAACTTTCCCTTCCACTTCTTCTAAAACTGAAAAAAATAGCGCTGTTTTTTTCAGTTTGCCTGACTAATGCACTGAAGTGACACAAGCTATTAGATGAGAGCCCAGATTTATCCGCCTCGTAATAATGATGTTTATAAACACAGTAACAAACACTGAGGTCCAGCAACCCCATCACTGGTGCTTGAAAGCTCCAGCACACTTTTGAGTCACCATGCTTGGTTTAAGCTTCAAAAGTGCATTAGACTATGCAAGCCAAAGCCAGGAGACCTTATTTTACCTAGCTGATTACGTGTAAGTGAATACATCCCAACCTTTAAGTAAGCATTTGAGCTTATAATGCACTTAACATTGATACATTGCTGCAGATAGTTCAAGACAATTTAAAAAAAAAAAAAGAGACATGAAGAGTGTTATGAGATAGATTGATTAAAATCACTTCAAAGAGGTAAGCCATAAGCCAGCAACAAAAGTAGTTCACCCCAAATGGGAAATGGCACATTCAGTTATTATTTAATCTGCAAAAAAAACCCACCCCAAAACCAACAAAAAACCCCAAACCAAAACCACACAGCTCTTTAAAAAGAAAAAGCCATACAAATTTAACAGCAATTTAAACTGGGAATTGTTATTGCAACTTCTTGAAAGTGGGTCTTACAGTATTAATTCTTAATATGCAACAAAGGATCATTTAGGTAGTGAAGTAAACCTAGTGTTTAAATGCCAATAGTATGAATATGCATCACTGGCACAGAATAGGAGTTTGGCAGTCATCTCTCCCTTAACAATACTTTTTTATTACTCAGCTCATTCTTCTGGGCCATAGGGGACTGAATTAAATTCATTACGAACTTTATTGGGAAGGATTTTAAATACATGCTAATGTCTTGTTGAGTACAGAAGGCTTCATTCACCCTTTCAGATTTTGCTAGTTCTATCAAATAGATGTTGAATCTTTTTTTTTTTTTTTTCTTTCTTTCTTCCCTGCATCTGAGCATTTACATCTGTCTCCTTTTATAGTCTTAACATTTTCACACTCTATCCTGGCTACCAAGAGCCAACCCAGAAAACTTGGAATCATCTCCAAAACTATAATTGTCACTAGGAAGCGCCAACAACGCGCTTTATTTGGATGCCACAGCCTATTAACCGAGTGTGCGGTGGTGCCGTCGAGGACCCGCTGCCCCGCTCCTTGTCCGTGCCCCTCGCACGGCTTCTGCTGCGGCACTAATCACAGTTAGCTTAAGCAGGGTTAAATCTCAAACTTTGTTTTTCTGTGATTAAATTAATGGCACAAAAGAGGGTTCTCAACATCTGCTTGTAAACTGACATTTAAATGGCAATTGTCAGTGGAATACAAGCATATGGTTAGCCGAGTTATGAGTCAAGTGCAGGCAGCAATGCAGTTAGTTCAGGAGGAGCTGCCTTTTATTTTTTTTTAAACCTCTCATTACACATTCGCATCCTTGGCCTGACTTTGTACTCAATGTTACACCATGACACTAATGCCCTGTGCCTCACCAAGTCTCCCGCCACACACTCGCTTTATCAGCTCCCAGATGAGGAAAGTACCGAGACTATCCCTCATTATTAACTTTGCCATCATAAACCAATACCAAACCAGTGCCAAAGGCGGCACTAGGTCCCTCTTTGGCTCTGCTAAAAATAACTGCAGAAACACAAGCAAATGCAACTTCTCTCTCATCAGGTTCCTGATGGTCATAAAACGCAATCACTACTAACTAACCCAGGAGAAGGAAAAAAAGCACTGAAGCTAGTACTAAGAATGTTATTCTCAGGAGATGGGTTAGTTACTGTTTTAACCAGCACTCAAAAAAGTAAACTTGCCTTTCACTGTAAGTAGGGACCTAAGTCATTGGTTTATTGTTTTGTCAGGGCAGGCTCCTAGCCAAGCCCAGCCGCAACAGGCACTATGCCTGCTGCGACTGCTGCGCTGCCCGCAGCCTCCGCAGCTGTTTGGCGTGCCTCTGCTGCTGCCCGCATCTGCATGTGACACCTCAGCTACCACGCGCCTATTTTCTACCAACAACTGTCATTTAAATGTCAGCTCACGCACAGATGTTGCTTTCACTGCTGTGATTCTGATTCCTAAGTGCAGCAAGGAAACCAACCAGAGTAACACCGAAGGGATGTTGACTCTGCTTGGCCATGCTATAGTGAGCAGGAGCGATGGAGCCCACACTTCTTCAGGGGCTAGCAAGGCTGCAGCACCTCAAGGAGGGGACTTATCTTCTCTGTGCTCTGTGATTTCCTGACATTTATTCTCATAGGGAAGAGTTTGGAGAAGTTTCTCTGCTCCACCAGCAACTGGGTACAACTTCAGATTCAAACTTTCAGCCTTTAACAGCCTCTGGGGAATACCTGATGTTCGGCCACTATCCAGATCAACGTGTGAATCAAAGCCCTCTCTTCATCTCTGACAAACAGCAAACAAATGTCTTGATGAGCAGGAAGGAGTGCGTGGAAGGGGTTGGGAGAGAGGACCAAACAAATGTCTTGATGAGCAGGAAGGGGTTGGGAGAGAGGAACGTACCTTTTCCTAATACTCCTGATCTCTTTATTTCCTAACCCTTCACCTCTCCTCTGTTTGAGGCCAGGAGGCTTAAAAGCACAGTGGAGCAGAAGCATTTCTTCAGTGTTTCTGTGGAATTTAACAATGATTCTGCCTAACTCCTGGGATGATCTCACAGCTGATATCTCCACCTAAACAGGCTCCTCTAGGACAAAGTACGTGCTAAAAGGCCTTTGTAGGGCCCTAGTAAGTCTAATGACATTCAGTGCCACCATGCCTATGTCCTTTTTGGGTATCCTGCCTTCATTTATCTAGGAAATCTCTGTTGTCTTGTTCTCCAAGCCCTAGAACCAGGACCATGATGGAGAGAGGACAGGAAGGATATGACATGAAGGAATGGCCACACTCCCTTTTCTTGCCCACCCACACTTGCTTCCTGGACCAACTGCAGGTAGACCACATATGCCACTGTAGTCGCTGTGGTATTAAAGAATGCCCATAAATAAAATTTCAGATGGAAATCAGACGCAGAGCGCCTCAGAAAGCACAGGCAAAGAGACAAACTTAACACAAAGCGCCTAACAAATTTGCGATGTCACTCTGTTAAACTTTAACAGCATCATTTCGTAGTAGTGAGTCACAGATAGATCTGCGAATCAAAGATTTGTCAATTTATGTCTTGTACTCTGCTGTATGCCTCAGTTTCTATAAGCAGTTAAGTACATCCTTTTTAGT